AAAAAAAAAAAAAAAAAAAAGAAAAGCCAATCTCATGAGGTTTGAAGGGAAACCAAATTTCATGAAATATTTTACGTATCAAACAAACATGACGAAAAGTGAAAAGTTGGAAAATATATTAAAACTTCCATGGAAAATGGCACCTATCAAACATGGTCTTAAATATCACATTAAGTGAGAATCATTTTTTGACGATTCTAACCCTACTACAATTCAATTATTTCAATAATACCTTAATTTTCGTTTTTCAATATATAATAAGTATTACAAAATCCATGGTCATTAATGAATTTCTTGTCATTAATTCTCAATCAATTAATATTGACATTAATCTAGACTCAATGAATCTTGATCTATATGAATCTAGAGTTATTATGAATGAATTTATTTATATTCATGTATCTATAAATTTTAATGGGTGTTTAAATTCATGTATTAATAATTAATTATTATGTATCAAATGTAATATAAAAAGATTGCTCATTTATATTATTTCATCATCACAAAAAATATAAATTATAAAAATTGAATTTGGAGAGTACGATTGTAAATTTTATTTTCTTTAATTCATTTTGTTGACCTCAAAAAATGTTGCCAACAAATGTCGAGTCCACTCATGTATGCGTAAACTTAATCCAACACGTTAATGCCTATCGACGATCAAGATAGCTCCAGAATCAAAACGTGGGAGGAGCTCAACAACACGAGATGTCACCGTTCGGACTTCTGGCAAGATAAACAGAACGCGATTGTATAAGAAATTAATCGATAAAGAACAAAATTTGTAGTTGTAATTTAATAATAGATGAGAGAATAATATAACTTCAAGTAGTTAGAATTGCATTAACCTTTACATGTTACATGGTAGGGGTATTTACAGTGTTACAAACGAAATGGTGACATTTGGATTAATTTACACCTGACTTCATCTCCTCGGCCCAGACATCAAACCTTAGTAATTCGGTTGACTCTCCTAATCTTACAAAACATTAAATACTCTTATATTAACAAGACAAGATACAAACACACTTTACACAAAAGTCACATCAATCACTCAAATAAAGATTTTCATCATGAGCAAATCTCCGCACATGGGTTGTCACCGACTGCTGGAGAGCCTCGGATCCGTATACGTTCCTTGGGCTTCGGATAGTGTTTAGGCCTCGAATAATGGGGCCTCGGTACAGCGCTGGAGGTTAAGAGAATATAGTGGAAATTACACCCTCCCCTACTTTTGAAAATCCAAATTCCAAAATCAGATTTCATCTTTTTTTTTTTCAAAAGTCGGATGTTTTTAATATAGATACACGTTTTTTATATTTTATTAAATTTTAATAATAATATTATAAAACCTAAATTATAAAAAGTCAGATTTCACCTCCATCCCTCCCTCCCCTTCTCCTCCTCCCCTCCTTCTGCCCCCGGTGAGTCCTCTCCTCCCGCCCTTCCCTTTTCCTCCCCCTTCCTCCCCTTCTGCTGACGGCCCTAATTCGCAGCATCGTTGCGACGCTGCTGTCGATTTTTGTCAAAATTTTTGATTTCGTTCAGTTGCAGCTCTCTCCTCCTCCGGATAGCATTGATACTCTCGATCCATCTGTTCTCCAGCGCTTTCGCCTCCACCCCCTGAAGATCGATGCAGTGTAATTTGGCCACCAATTGCAAATAACGGAACTGCCCTAGTCGCGACTTTGGGGATCAAATTTCGAGGCAATTGAGCAGCAATTGGGTCAATTAAATATGTACCCACCGTCGTTTGTGTGCGAATTTCATTTCCCCCATGTCAATTTGTGATTTTAATAGTGTTTACGTGGTGGTGCGGTAGTTGGTGGTGGTTTGTAAATGAGGGCGGTTTGACGGTGAGGTGGTGCCGGCTTGCAGGCAGTTGAGGCGGTGTTTTTTTTAATGGTGGTGGTGTGATGCAGGCGATGGTCCGGTGGTGTGGTGAGGTGCGGGCGGCAGTTGTTTGAATCTGTGTTGTGACCTGTAACCTGAGTTGTGACCTGAACTGTGACTTGTGAATTGAGTTGTGACTTGGACTGTGACTTGTGAATTGGACTGTGACTTGTGACCTGAGTCATCGGAGCCGGAGCAATGGCCGGAACGATCACCGGAATCTGAGCGGTCGTCGGAGAGGTTGCCGGAGAGGTGACCGGAGCGGTGGCCGGAGCGATGGGGTGGTGGAGCCGTGGAGGTGGGGGTAGGTTAATTGTATATATATGTGTGTGTGTGTGTGTGTGTGTTGTGTGTGTGTGTGTGTGTAGGTCAAAATTTCTGATTTTTGAAATGTGAAATAATATTTATATATATGTGTATGTATATTTCAAAATTTCTGATTTTTGAAATGTGAAAGTTGTTTTGTTATTTTTGAAATAGGGTAAAGATATAGTAGGAAAACTGAATTTTTCCCTAGAATATATCCTGTTTCCACTGGCCTGGTCCCATTGTCCAAATATGATGTCACGTGACGTTTCTATTTATGAGTTGTAACAAATTTAAAAATCATCAAATAATTTCAAAAAATTATTATCAAATATTACTTTGCAGCAAGTCAGCAATTATAAAATATTTCAGAATAAGTGCAACGCATCATAAACCCAAATATTCTCGCGCATCTCTTCCCTTCTCCGGAATCACGATTTTGTAAGCCAGAGTACCGAACCAAATAAACCAATACCGATTTATTTTGGACCAAAGACCACCGGCGCCCACCCGCGATTTCTTTCTAGACGTCTTCCATCTCCAGCCACGCTGCCGCAGCATTTGACTACCGAGGTAATCGATTTTTTTATCTTGTTTTTAACTGCAATTTCAATGAGTAATTACAGCGTGTATTTTACTCTTTAGGTCTTTTGGGTTTCTTTATCTGCTGCAATTAATCTTTTGCTGGAATTTGAATGTTCCCTTATAAATTTGTATTTTAATTTTGTTCTTTAGGTGTTTTTTTTCTTTGCTGAAATTTGATTAAGTTTGGAGAATGAACCTTTTTCCAGACTTGAAAATTAGTTTAGGATTTAGGTTATAACTTTGGTGTTTGTATGCTTCAATGTCCCATATTTTATACTAAAAAGATTTATTCTTTGGAGGATTTGAATTAAAAGAGTTATAGTTGGAATATTGTTGTAGTAGCATTTTTTCCTGCCCTGTGACTGAACATGCAATTTTAGTGAATACTCTTTAATATAAATTTTAATTATGACTTTGGACTGAGGGATGGATAAGGTGATTGGAGTAGATGGAATACATATCCATACTGGAGGAACCATTACTTTGAATGAAACTCATTGATTAGAATGTGAGGGCAAAAATTGTATTTTCACCAAAATTTTTACACCTTATTTTTCTTTTTCGGGACAAAAGATGCCAGGAAGAACCTCTTTTCTACGGAATTGAACTCAGGGTGACCTATTTGTTAAAAGATTAAAATGGAAGCTCAAGTCAATAAATTATGAAATAAACAAATACATTTCACAGCAGATATAGGCACATTGAACCAGAATCCAACAACAATTCAGTGAAATAGTATAAAATGCTTTTGGTCATAGTTAAACTGGATAAAACATATCCCTCAATTTTTCAAAGTGACATGGAGAAATGTGATAATCGACACCTAAACCGATAGAAAATGACAAATGGTACATCCAGGAATTTAGGCTGAATTTCTCTTGAAAAAATGATGTTCCTGAGCAATTTGTTCGGAGAAAAGGGGGTGGTTTGGTAATCAAGGGAACAGACCATCAACGAGAGTTGTGAGGGTGGTTAATATTTCTTTGATTTTTCCTCTTGTGGAAGTAGTATTGACTTTTCACTAACAAGCCAGATGTCCAATAGTAACAATGGAGGTCCACACACATCTGAAGGATAGTGGGTGCATTTTGTGTTGCCGTTGACTGCAATTTCAGTGTAAAATCTGTACTACATTTTTGTGTTCACTAGAATTTGAATCTCTAAAAAGATACAATTTTGATATTAACTAAAGACTGGTGGTGTATAAGCGTTTTAGTTCAAGTTTTGGGCTTTTCTTAAGTCGAACTTGATCAATCATGGGCTCCAAATGAAATCATTAAATTTGTGGACCTCCAAAAAATGAAATCACCGAATTCATAGATTTAGTACCCCTATCAGTATGAGATCAGATACCTTTGCAATCAACTGTTCTCTTTTTACGTATCATTTCTCTTTACAGTTCATGCCCTTATAACATTTCAAAATCTATTATTTTCAGAATAAAGATGCCGCAGGTGAGAATAGTGGCAAGAAATTTTATGGACATGGTGGCATCATTACCTGCATTGAAACTTGACAAACTTTATGAAAATTCTTTCATTTGTGAAGCAATACTCAGGTAAACCATTATGTGCTTGTCTGAATGTGTTTTTCTTTATTTCTTTTTTTCGATCAATTAGCAAGTTTAATGCAATTCTTTGCATGTAGTTCAATTTTTTCCGTGGATGAATTAAGTATAAAAAAACACTTCCTTTACTTCAAAATTCCGAGTGCAGTTTTTTTCTATTCTACCATTAAGAATGATGCACAAGTTAGGATCTCTTTAAATTTTCTTTTAAATTGCTAGGAAATTGCAATGGCTCAGAAGTAGTCTTCCTTTTTATGTCGAATGAAAAAATATTGTAGTGGAGATTAAGCCCATGTTTGACAATCATTAAAACAAAACTCTTTTTTTTTTTCTCAAACTCATTTTCAACCACAGATTCTCATAATAAAATATTTTAAACGTAATCACAAAACTTTTTAACCCTACATTCTCAAAAAAAATCACTATTCCAAAACTCATTTTTCCAAAAAAAAAAAAAAACACTTTTTAATGGTTGCCATGTGTAGGAGTAGGCGAGTAGCTAACCTGATGTAGATGTTTTGATTGGTGGATATTAGTTTTCACATGTTGAATTTATACCTAGATCGTTGCCCCCATTGGCAAAGAAATATGTGCTCCAACTGTTGTACATAGACGGACCAGTGACGGCAAAGTTGTTGGACGAATGGGTACTTCCTGATGGGGTTTCAAAGCACAAAGTGGCTATTGATCGATTGATACAGCTGAGAGTCTTGAGTGAAACTCTTGATAGGTATCACATTTATTTTCACATTTGTTCTCTGTTTTAGTTCTTTGAATGTTCACTGCCAGAACATGTTTCTTCGTATACAATTCCTAGACTGTGTTGTTCAAATGATATTCTCTAACGGATTCATTCACTAGTTCTCTCTTGAATTCTGATGTTCAGGACATAGTTGTTATTGAAATTGATTCTTACCTCAAACACAAAAATGGAAAATTCTTTTGATCTCATTTAGTTCATTTTTTAACATTTTTGGTCTCAACTCTTGTTTCTACAATGTGGATTACCTGAGCATGTACCCTATATGCCCAATTGCACATATATCATTAAAAATGAGCGAGATGGTTGAATTTCGTTCCAATCATAGAAAGGTGGAATTTGTTTACAAAGTGAAACCAAGCTTCAAATCAGAGACTAAAAGTTGTAGTATATTCTTAGCCAAATGAATTGAATAATGCCTTGCCTTTCCCCGATGCTAAAGGATTGTATTCTAAAGAGTGAAGTCTGTTACTTTTGACACTAAACATTGTCTTAATCCTTATACGTAATTTGCTTATTGAGTGACCTCACTAGAAGAGATCCGTTAAGAAAATAAGATCACGTGGAGGTGGAACCAACTGAGATGATAAATTAGGGACGTGTTGTCCCAAGTTAACATGAAATGAGGCGATTGCAAAATAATTGATTTTAATTGAATTAGAAGAGATTAAATCAAGTGAAGGTGGCACCAACAAAGATGTCTAAAATTTTACTTGTAGATCCAAGTTGACATGATATGAAGTGCTTGCAAAAGATTTGACTTTATAGGAGCTTTCAGAAAGGGTAGCTATGGATGGAATAGAATAACGAGGAAGGACTCTCTCGGCTGATCAAGTTTGTAGGAAATATGGCTTAACCTTCTATTGATGTAGAGATAAGTTGCTCTTGGCTTCTGGTAGTCAAGTTATGCAATCTAATGCTGCAAAGTGGTGCCAGTCCATAAATATTAGTCCCTTCTTTACCTGAATTATCGTCACTTGCCAGTTACCTAAAGCAAGATCTTATGTCATTAACTAAGAGACAAGTTGGAACCTCTGTCGTTACTGCCCAGTCTCTATTTTCCAAGGAGGATAAGTGGTCCTAGAACTACTGAAGGTAGTTTCCCTAGCCAAATCTGCAGTTAATTAAACTGAGTTTCCATTGCCTCCTTTTCTAATTTCACCTTACAACATTTACAAAACATTCCACTTCTTCACACTTTCTTTATATCTTTATCTTGATAATTTTGTTGAATGTAAACAATAGGTACCTATTTTCATGTACTCACATCTATACTCTAGTGGATATTCATGAACTATTTAAGTGTGTCTGGAAATATATGCCCATTTGTTAGTTTACCCAGACTCTTGTTGTCCCTCCGCAGTCTACATTATACTGTTTGCTTTATTTGATATTTAAAGCTGTGATACTCATCCTAGAATAGTTGGTCAACATCACTGGCTATTCTTTTTGCTTTGTGGATTGCATGAATACAGCTTGTCCTAAACTTTATTTACCTAAAATTTCGTGAAGAATGTTATACAAAACTGGTAATTCTTTGGACAAATAAGTGTCTATCTCGCATTGACAATTTGACTGCCTTTCATCTTGTTCCTCATTCCTTGAAGTATGGTAGCCATGTTTGACGCTTAGAAATTTGAGGTTCTCCTTTTTCCGTGCAAATGCAAGTGCTTGTGATTTTTGTTGCTTTTCGCAAGGCATGTTACCATTATGTATTTGATTGTTGTAGTCACAATATTGATGTCTTGACTTTGTTCAAACAGTGCTTGAGTCCTTTTGTTTGTTGTGGCAGGAAAAAAGAAGCTACGTACAGATTAAACCCTACATTTCAGCTGAACCTCCAGAAGCACATATTGCATGGGTAAGGTTTAGGTTCTCATCTGCAGCCGATGTTCACTCATTTATCAACTATCTGTTTTGAGGAATAAATGTTTGAGCCTATAATATTTGGAATCTGCAGTGGAATATTACCTAGAGAACCGATGCCTTTGAATGTCACTGTGAGGCTCCCTAGCTTGGAGGATTTAGATGCATATGCTGTTCAACAATGGGAGGTATGAATGTCATTATAACAATTGTCTCTGTCGTCTTGCATGAGTGTTTTGTAATAGAATCAATAAACCCTGCTCACAAGGAGATATGCTACCAGTCAAATATCTTCTTCATCTTCTTCATGTTATTTTTATTTACATTAGTAACACTTAATTAGATGTGTACCAAAGTGGATGGCCTGTTTACGGCATGAGTCAATATCATACAGTTTCCATTTTTGGTCGCTCTGCAGTTTCCGTTAAAAGTTTGGCCACTCTTTTTTTAACTTGCAAACTGTGGCAATCAGTGCTTCTTGCTGCATCTTATAAACTCGGCTGAAGCTGAAAAATCAACAAATATCAGCTCTTCAATGATGAAAGTGTTCCAACGCTGCCTTCTGAACCAAAGGTAATTCTAATACTTGCATTACTTTTTATGCAGGTCTTTTCATGTAATGATACACGAACATTGGCTTTCTTACAGAGATGACAGGGAACCTCCAAAATTGACAGAGAGTGGCTTCCAGTTTTTGGTATGAGTGCAAATGTACCCTAGTTAAAAACTTGTTTCTTGGTAAAGCATACTGACAAGAGTCTGTAACAGCTGATGGACACAAGTGCACAACTTTGGTACATTATCAGAGAATATATAAGTAACTCTGAGGTATCCTTCATTCATTTTTTATCATTGGTTTTTTACTCTTCTAATTGTTCTGGTTGATAATACCATTGGAACCATCAACTTTTAGACTGTAATAAATCTAAGTTTTCTTCTACCTGGAAAAATCTCAGATGCTAACCTAGAATCTTCCACCGGGAAAAGTCTTATGTATTAACCAAGTTCTAACTTCTAAAATTGGAATTGACTGCGCCCATATGTTAACAATTTTATGGATTTGAATATATTGGCATGATACATGATTTTCCCTTTTGGTTTGTTTGTTGGGACCTTTCAGGAGTGTAGCATTGGATAAAAAAAGAAGTGTCAAATAGGGATCCATGTACTCAAAAGTTTATCGGGAATAAGGCTTAACTTATTGTTGGTGTTGGTTGCTACTAGGAGGGGAAGTTGAGAGAAAGTTTTACATGACATTGAATTCTGAGAATTTTGTTTTAGATGTTTCTTTCTAGCACTTCTGTGCTGTCATATAACTTGTGCGACATTTTCATGATCTGTATTCATGTATTACAGTATTAGAAAATAGATGGTTGATGCATGTATAAAGAAGCTTCTATTCACTTGGGAAATAAAGGCTAGAACAGGAAGGGGTACACCAGCATTAACATGCCCTGATGGGGTTGCAAAAAAATTGGTTACATTGATCATTTAGTAAATATAATGTTGGACCAAATGGAGTAGCGAAAAGGGAAAAAATGAATAGCTTATTGTTTTTATTGTTCTTGTCTTGGAGTGGGGGAAAAAACTGTGTGAACCTATTGGATTATAATGCATCTGTTTTGGATTTTCGCATTTTGATGTAGGATCATGGTGTGGATACTGCTGATCTTATAGCATTCCTGCTGGAACTCAGCTTTCATGTGACTGGCGAGGTATTATTCAGATTGTTTATGCTGGTGCAATTTGTATTATAAGATGCATCGTATGTACAGAGTCTTTGTTTCATGGGGTGGCTTGGAATACTTGAATTCTTAGCCTATATTTTTCCAGATCACCTTTCTGATACATTTTTAGGGCTTTTTGTCTTTATCCTTTCAATAGATTTGGCAATTCAACTTAGAGAGCCATGCCATGAAGAAATAAATAAAGCAAAAAAGTGGAGGTTCATCCCTCTCATGATCCTGAATTGAATGATTGCTTTTGTAGGCATATAATGTGAACACTTTGACTGATGTCCAGCGCCACATAATAAAGGATCTTGCAGATTTGGGATTGGTCAAGCTCCAGCAGGTGGGATCTGCTCTTTGCCATATTCGATTGCAGTTCTAAACTATTGGTTATTAGACCTTTATAATTCTTGCCGACCTTCATTTTGTATTAAACACTGATAATTGTGCTTCAGGGCAGGAAAGAGAGTTGGTTCATACCCACCAAGTTGGCTACAAATCTCTCCATTAGCTTAGCTGATTCATCTTCCAGGAAACAGGTAGTTTGCATAGAATCATTTGCCTACTTATGAGGCAGTCAAGCTAGCAAGAAGTTCCCTGCAATAGTTGGGCTTGTCTGAGCGGAGAACAATGTTTGATTCCATTGTCAAAATGTTGGAAACTTTAAACACTGTTTTTATGTTTGTTTGCCGAGTTGAATTCTAGTCTTCTCTTGTGACATGGAGAAGAAACTGTTTTGTAAATGATGTCCTCTTTTCCCTTTTGGTTGCGGTTCCATTTCATCAGGGATTTGTTGTCGTGGAAACGAACTTCAGGATGTATGCATATTCAACATCTAAATTACACTGCGAGATCTTGCGGCTCTTCTCAAGGTATGCCTTTCGCTTGCTTCAACAAAGCATGTGTGCCAACTGAAGGTGTTTTTCCTCTTAAGGAAGAAGGATGACTGAAAAATCGTGCCTGTCTGTCGATGAATATGTTGTGCTTATTCCTGGTGTAATTGAATGCTGCATCCAGTATTTGACTAAAGATATAAATGAGCACATTTGTCTAAGTTTAAAAAGTCACTTATAAGTCAGTAAGCATGGTTTAAAATAAATGGTTTTTTTATTATTTAAAGTTGAAAATGAGTAAGTAGTATATTATGACGGTAATGGAAGAGTTACTTTCGAAGTATCTATCAATTTTTACCTAAATGTAAAAAAGTAGTTGTCCTAAGGTTTGCATACAAAAGTTACCTGGAAGTGACCTTTACCCCTTTCTAAGCTTAGTCAAACACAAGCTTTATGAATCATTGTGAAGTTTTTGGGACAAATTTATAATAGACGTGCTTAAGACTTCATTCGATTGTATAAATATTATGCATGCATTTAAATATCCCAACCCGAGATGAAGGTATTGTTTGGCAAGCCGTTCACTCCTGGTTTAGTGGGAACTGATTTTGTCGTGATTGTCTAATTTAATTTGGTAGTTGAAAATCTAAATGCATTTGTATTATAGGTCTGGCCTAATTGTAGATTCCTTGTAAAATACAGAAATCCTTCTCTCCTTTTTCCATGCAAATCGTTTCTAACTTATTTTGTACAATTCTAACTTTATGAAACAAAAACTGCTTACTGTTGAAAAAAATTAGGTGTAGTTTGACTATATCTAGTCTGATTTTTTTTCTAAAGTTCCAAGAACCTAGTATTTTGAAAGCTCTGCACTTTCAGCTATTTTCTTTGTTTGTTGAGTGTATTTACTTGATTTTTTTCTACTTCAACATCGAGTCAATCTGCATAGATCCTTGTTTGCATTATTTTTATTTCACTCTATAGCTTCAGTGTCATTCTTATAACTGGTATTGGAGGCCAGAAACACAGAATGGACCTAAAATTTAGGAACTTCAGTAAATTGTGCTACAAGATGGCGATTCAGCTTTTACATCGTATGGAGAGAAACCAGCTGTTAATCTACTTGAGCAGGAAAATAGCAAACATATTGTTTTCAGATTTACAGGTTTAAAATGCCTTGAATACTGGATAATTATTGAATTTTGCTCACTAAAGCTTCAGAAACCAAAGAATTATTCCACTAATTCAGTATTAACTGCTTGTTGTTTCTCTTGGTAGAGTATCTTTGCCAAAAATAAAAAATATAAAAAAAAATCAAACTTTTAAGCAGGTCAAACATCACTAATCATATATTTTTTAGGATCTATAACTTTTGTCTAATTTTTATATTCGTTCATTGAGACCAGGCTTATAAGCACTTAAAGCCTTAGTCAATCTTTAAAGTAGTAACTGTAGTCAGAATTCTGGCTTTTTACTGCATCTTTTTTTGAAAACTCATGTTAGACAATTATGAGCATGTTTACATGTCCACATACCTTTTCTTTCTCCTCCTCATAAGTAAAATAAGCACGCTTATAAGCTCCCAAACATGCTCTGTTTCATTAGTTAAAATTGATGGTCAATCAGTCCTTTGCTTCATCAGGAGAACAGGTGGTTCATAAACTTAACTGCAACTCAACCTTTTGCTGCATCAGATAGACCAAGTTATTGGATTTGACTTTTGAGCTTTGGGAGAGTAGATGAGAAAGAAATTGGGAAGTGTTTCTGGTTATTATTATTCTGAGAAAGATATGTTTCAATGGCTGATGTTGTTGCTGAAGAGTGGTATTATGATTATAAGTAATTCATTTGAAGCTGCTTTTATTGGTCTTTGAAATTTGTTATTGTGAAAGACTGAGGGTGGAGGCTCTATAGGATCGTATGCTAGTACGGGAAGTTGTAATATTTTATTATGGGATAAACTTGCAACAAAGTCCATATTAGTCTTTGTTTTTAAGCTGACTGTTTTCATCTAAGTATCGCTGTTACAGATATCATTTCTCTCTTGATGAAGAATAATTTATTCTGAACTTGCAGGATCGAGTACCAGCTTCCTAACCTCATTGTTGGTGCAATTACAAAAGAAAGCTTGTATAAAGCTTTTGAAAGTGGCATTACTTCAGAGCAGGCAAGGATCAAGTTCTCGTTGTCTATTTAGGCCTTCTAATGTATCGTTAGTGTTTGTCTGGGTTGTCATTTAACGACAAATATAGCTCTATCTTTGGTTTAACTTTACTCCTGCTTTGTACATATTCTACCCTGGTGTATTTTTGCTACAATGAGCTCAGCTTTCAGATGTCTTCTGCCTATTTATTCTTGCATCATGAGAGGATTGAGAAATTGCAAACCAAGATCTGTGCTTTGCACACTGGAAGATGAAAGATTGTGCTTAAAAGTTCAGTACTTATTTTTGCAACAGAAAGAAATTATGATATTCTTTCAGAGGCAAAGGAGACCTCTTCATTTTGCCGTTTATTGGTTTGTTCAGATTTGTAACTCGGTTTTCTATGAAACCTAAAGCCTCAATTTTGATTCATTAAGTTTCTTCTTGTCAGTGAATAGTGGGTTTAGATTTGCTTAGCTTGCCTTGTGTTGGTTCAAGATGTGGACCACCAGTTTAAATTGTTTAAAATTTGAAATTGAATTTTGGCAATTGCAGATAATTTCTTTTCTCCAGCAGAACGCACATCCTCGAGTTGCGGAGAGAATACCCTCAGTACCAGAAAATGTTACTGATCAGGTTATTGCTTTTTATCACAGATCTGAGTTAACCTATTTTTCTTGATCTTTCGGCTATACTTTCCAGCTCCATTGTGAAAATTAAATTTCCATCTATGTTTTCCAACTAGCAAGTTATTGTGACAGAATTTTTGAAGTGATTCTAACTTTTGATGGTACTTCAGTCAATTTTCTGGCTAGTACTGTATGAGTGATTGGGAAACGGCTACTATTTTTCGTTTTTGATGTAAAACCAGATTAGGTTGTGGGAATCGGATTTGAACAGGGTGGAGATGGACCCGGCTCATCTTTATGATGAATTTCCATCCAGAGTAAGCGCTGCCCCTGGCATTGTTTATATGAAGATACTAATGCATGGGTTTTGGTCTTATAATATTCTTGTTCATTGTCTCGTAGGATGTTTTCGAGTCTGCTTGTGATTTTGCACGAGAATATGGTGGATTGCTGTGGGAAAATTCTAAGAAGATGCGTATTGTGGTGAAAGCGGAAATATATGCCCAAATGAAAGAATTTCTTCGTCGACAAAAGGAATAGTCCATATGCATAATTTCGACATGGTAAAAATGGTTATATTACAATGTGTCAGCTCTAATTTATCTTAAATTTGACAAGAATGCCCGATGATCTTTCTGGTATCTACTATGAAAATTTTACAGAATTTTGATTTATGTTCTGTTGCTTCCTAGCAAATAGCGTTATAATTTCATTTCATATCCATCACTACTAGAAATGGCAAGAGCATTCATGTTCAACTGAAGAATACATTTTCATTTCGTGCCCTAAGATATTTAGTAAACTCATATAGGTGCGTTCATTAATGAAATATATATTATTCAGATGAAGTTAGTCCAACTACCAATAGATTTCTATTCTCTGTGTCCGTTTTATCTTCGCACTATAACATTGTTAGAATGCGAGGTCGCCACACGGGCTGGTCAGTTATCCGATATTGAGTACATTAGATGCAAAATCGCCACACTGGTCACCTCTTTGGATCAATGCCAGCTCTCTTTTTTTCCCTGTTTTAAGTGTTGCGATAATGTTGACATGGGACTGTTTATTTGGCTTGTGATTATGTGCTATGGCGTTGAAGTGGTATGAACATTTTATTNAGAACAAATATATACGCTAATTTCTTCGACTTTTCCACATTTCAGAACAAATATATGCCAAATGCATCTGTTCTGCGAACTTCTCAGCATCCCTAGAGCGAACCCTTCGTGATATCAAATCATCGTATATATCTGCATCTTAAAAAATTAGCATACTGCATTCTGCTATAACAGTGGCCTTGCTCTGTTATAATACTTAAAGTAGAGTTCTTACCGTAAACTGAGAACAAACTATTCATGACTCTTGAAGATCATAGGAACGCGCATAAGCAATGAGAAGTTTTGGAAATAACAAAATATCAGGATAATGCACATACCAATGAAGAGAATAATATGGCGGAGAATGCGAACTTTAGTCATCTCTTGTAGAACCCATATAATGCCAATAAAAATAATAAATTCTGGCAAGGCGGAAAATAAATATCAATATCTTGGAAAAGATGAAGTTACAATGCTTACAATTGACGTAACTTACTAATGCAAATCCCCCGTGGTGTCCACTGTTCAACATTCAAGAAATCAGCCAATACACACCACCGTGTGTTTGCGTCACCCCCACCTTCATTTTATATCAATGGTAGCTTCACCACATTACTCTTGAATTCATTGAACTATTTTCCTTTACCCAGGGACGGATCCAGAAACAGATTATAGGCCGAGCTAATATGTTGAAAAAAAAAATAAAAATTGCACATGATTTTTTTTTTTAACATAAAGTTTTTTTCTGACAAAAAAAAAAAAAACTGTGTGTGGGACTGGAACGGGCTACAGCCCGACCGTAGATCAATTTCCTTCTCAAAGTCATTGAACTAAAGAAAATTTATGTCATCCTAAAATGCGTACTAGACTAACGACAGTCCAATTCCCCAATAGAGTAACTATTGGGGAATAAGTCTTTTCGAGAGGTGCTACAAGTACAAGGGCCTTTTCACGGGCCCCTGCCAAGCACCTCACATTTGGGAGAGAGCCTTAAATTTATTTATTTTTATTCATTGGGGTGGGGTCGGCTACAATGAGGGACCAGTAAGGCCCATGTGGAAACACCCCCGATACTTGGGGAATAAGTCTTGTGGAAATTGCACAAAACCCTATGTTTTAATATCCAATTTCAAAAATCAGATGGAAGGTTTTATTGTTCAAANTCCATATCCAAAATCAGATCTCAAGTTTCATCTTTCCAAAATCTGATATTTCATTTTTAAATATTAAATATTAATTATACAATTTTCAACCAATTCCCCCAAAACCAAATCCGACCGTCGTCTCTCTATTTGCTGCAGATCTAATAACACATGCGTGCCTTGCAAGTGGTAGTGGATCTGCGACGTGGGGCCATTGGGCAGAGGAGATTCGTAATCTGGGGAAGAACAATCCGTGTATGGCTTCGCGCTGAAGGGACACTGCTACAGTTTGGTGGGATGGGGGTGCTATAGGTGGTAGGCGCAGGTGATGGATCTACGACAACAATGAGGTGGTTTTGGGTTTGTTTGTTGGTTTGGCGGTGGCGGTTTTCGTCGATTAGATCAGACGTTGTGCTCTCCTCCATTCTCTCTCTCTCTACACAAACTCGTCCCCTCGGTCAGAAGGAGCGCGAATGGTCGTCGAGGTTTTTGTGTGGTGGCGATTTTGTGGTGGTGGCTTTGGCGGTTGCGGTGCTGTGGTGTTTGTGCAGTGACGATTCTGTGGTGGTGGCTGTGGTGCTTTGTGTGGTTTTATGTGGTGGTGGTGATGATGTTCTGTGTGATCGTTGTGATGGTAGTGGTGGTGGTGGTCATGCTAGTTTCTGGCGGTGGAGGTGGTTGTTGGTAGCTAGAGATTTGATCGAGTTTATTGTCTTGGTTTTTGTTAGCAGTTGACTGGATCTGGTGGTGGCTATTTGTTGGTGATGATGTCATTGTGTTGTTGGTGGTGGTGGTGTTATAGTGGTGGCGGTGAGTAGGTAAGGGTGGTCACAAGTGGCGGTGGTGGTCGTATGTAAAACACTATTTGACCTATGACCAACTATTTGGTCACATGTTGCCAACTATTAAACTATCTGTGAAAGAGCTTGATTTGTGGCTTGTGATTTGACCGTGGTGGTGGTGACAGTTTAATGGTATTGGTGGCGCTAGTGTGTTGTTGCTTTGTGGGGCTTTGTTGGTGGTGGCAGCGGTGCATCTATATAGGGTGGGCTGTGTTGATGGCGGTGTGGTGAGGTGGTGGTGTGCGTTGGGGTGCGAGGTGGCGGCGGCGGCGGCGTAGATGTCTATGGGCTGAATTCAATGGATACGGTTGAGGTCAGAAAGTGCCTTTGTTGCAACGATCGCTGCGCTATCTGGGGGAAAATCGTCGGAGCTTTTGGTTAGTTGGCGGGTGGTTTGAAATGGTGGCTATGTTTGTAGTTGGTGGTGGTACTGGTCGTCGAGGTGGTGGTGGTGGTGGTAGTCCTCTCTTCTCTCTCTTCTGTACTGTCTTTTCTCTTCTCACTCTCTCTTCTCTCTAGTAGTGGACGGTGGCGGAGGGTTTGGTGTTTGTGTTGGACTATCTGTGACCTTAAAATTCTACAATTTGTGACTAAAAATTAATCCGT